GTAGCAGATGAGTTTTATTTAGCCGACCTGCATTTAACCACAGTGCATTGTTACACGAACAGCGACGTAGCCAGCGTTATGTTCACGTGTGATATGCAGACGCAAGGCCCCGCAACATGCATTGCTTGCTGGGTGTTATAGAGGGAGCGCCTATGAGTTTTGGGTATGTGACGGTGGGGATGACGGCGTGCCGAACACGCACAGCCGCTCGTGTTTCCCTTCCCAAGTGTTGATATCTGTGACCTCTAAAAGCCCCATAATCACAATTGTATCTATTACAATAATCGTTATCGGCACCAACAGTATCGTCATTACAGTATCACCACCACAATCGTCATCACCACCATTATCACCACAATCTTCATCACCGTGATAAACACCATCACCGTCATCACTGATATCACCACCACATCATCACTGCCATCGCCACCACCAAAAAGGCGCATGAACACTACAACATTTTCGTTTTAGGGCTGAGTCAGCCTAGAGGTGGCTCCAGGCCAAACATATGCAGACTGACCTGTCATGCTGTACTATCACTCACGCATACATACAAACATACATACAAAGATCCCCCATGTAGCCTGTTGGGGCAAGTGCTGTTCGCGAGCGGATATGAAGGCCGGCAAGGCACACGAGGGTGACGGGTGGCCAACGCCCGGCCACTCGGCCACCTTACAGACACCGCACCGGGCAATCATTTCAGGCCGAGCAGACCGAGGTGAGACCCAGGACCTGTTCAGATAATCGTCACCGGCGATGTTGGCCGTGAGCGGGAATCGAACTCTGATCGCCAGGTTCGTAGCGCTAACCGCGGTACCACCGCTCCAGATGTCACTCACTCACGCACGCACCCAAGACAAAGATCCCCCGTATAGCCTGTAACAGACTGTAGGGGCAAGTGCTGTTAGCGAAGACCTATGAAGGCCGGCAAAGCACACGAAGGGGTGGGTGGCCAACACCACGCCCGGCCGCCTTTGTCTCCCCAGTGGCGATGTTTACACACCACACCAGGCACGCACACACCTGGACGACACAACACACAGCACATACACACAGTACCACCGTCTAAACGATAAAACAGCATTCGCCTCTAAGCTGGCGGTGACAGCCTCACCACCTCCCCACCGCGTCGCTTTGTGCCAGGCTAGGTGCACGCACCTCGTGGCGGCAAAGACGACGAGGCGACGCGTCTGCCGGTGGTGACTCTCTGGCAGGATGTGCGGAGCAGGAGGAGCACGCAGGTGCGACAGATGAACCGTGAAGAATGGGACCCCCCCACCCCACCCCCACACCCCAAGGGGTGGCAGCATCCTGAACATCGCAGGCGGCCGCTTCTGATGCTGCTGCTGCTGCTTGGCCACGTGGACTGCTGCCCCAGTCTGTTGGACTTCTTTCGCGCCGTACCTAGCCATACCGTGCCAATCGGAGGCGTTTGCCGGTCCTGCCTATGGAGTTGTGTGCCCCCGACTGACATTTGAGACGTACCTACGTTGACCAGCGGGGTGAACTATGGTCAAATAACCCCGACGACCTGCACGGCGTGGGTTGGTGGGGGGGGGGGGCAAGTCCTCGACTAGCAGCTGATTAATACCACGGTTGTCGGTGAACATTAATAATCATAGAGACAATTCGAGATACTGTTATACCGGACACAAGAGACACTGACCCCCCCCCCCCCCACGACTAACTACAGCCCTAAGAGCTTGTTGGGGGAAGCAAGTGCTGTTAGCGAGCACCTGTGAAGGCCGGCACCGTGGCACACGAGGTGGTGGGTGGCCAGCACCACGCCCGACCGCCTTTGTCTCCCTCACATGGCGAACTCGGGTCGCCTGGTTCGTCGCCCAGCGGCGCTAACCACTACGCCCACCGCTCCCCTCTTCACACTATAGACAAAGATCCCCCGTATAGCCTGTAATAGACTGTAACAGACTGCTGGGGCAAGTGCTGTTAGCGAGCACCTGTGAAGGCCGGCACTGGCACACGAGGTGATGGGTGACCAGCAACCACGCCCGGCCGCCTTTGTCTCCCCAGTGGCGATGTTTTACACACCGCACCAGGTATTCATTTGAGGCTGAGTCAACTTAGACGAGCCCCCGGACCGGCTTAGATAATCGTCACTGATGGTGTTGGTGGCCGTCTGAGAATTCGTATAGCGCAGCGCGCTAACCACTACGCCCACCGCTCCCCCTTCACGCCACACACACAACATATCGATAACCTTGACGGAGCGAATCGTGTACATTCCAATGATGTTCGATAACGAAGCAAGAGTTCAACCTATGCTTAAACTGAGACTTTATGTATAAAGGGTATAACAACGTGTGGTCTCTTGTTTGTTGGGGTCTCAACATGCCGCGTGGCCTAGAGGAGCTCCCGGATCATAGTCAAGGTTCGTTGTTGTTGGTGGTGGTGGTGGTTAGACACGCTAAAGTATAAATGCGATCTACCCCCCCGCCCCGCACTCTTCATGATGAATGATATTGGTCGCGAAAGGCGATAACCGTGCCCCGCCTGAGCTCCTGGGTTGTGGTTGCTTCCAACGCACACGGAACAGCAGCACTGCGGACAGCCCCGAGGGGGGGGGGGGGGGGGTCGTGGTGGTCGCTGGTCCCAATGCTGCCCAAAGCCACCACCACCAACGCTACCACCATCACCACCACCACCGCCACCACCACCACCGCCACCACCACCACCGCTACCACCACCACCGCCACCACCACAATCACCACCGCCACAATCACCACCGCCACCACAATCACCACCGCCACCACCACCAAAATCACCACCGCCACCACCACCGCCACAATCACCACCGCCACCACCACTACAATCACCACCACCACCGCCACCACCACCACAATCACCACCGCCACCACCACAATCACCACCGCCGCCACCACCACCACCGCCGCCACCACAATCACCACCACCACAATCACCACCACCACCGCCACCACCACCACTACAATCACCACCACCGCCATCACCGCCACCACCACAATCATCGTCGCCCCTAACTCTTTGCTTCTTTCGGTAAAGCCACGTGGGTATACAATAAATCGTCGCCCCTAACCGAGTAATTCGCCTGCCGTGGGGTTGTGACCACCACCAACACATCCGAAAGGAACAAACGAAAGGAACGTCACTCCATCAAAGTCACGTTGGTGCAGCACGTGCACGCAAAGACAAAGAACCCCCGTGTAGCCCCTGACAGACTGGTGGGGCAAGTGCTGTTAGCGAGCGCCTGTGAAGACCGGCACGGTACACGATGGGGGTGGGTGGCCAACACCACGCCCGGCCCCCTTTGTCTCCCCAGTAGCGATGTTTTACTCCACACACACACAGCACCAAGTACTCATTTGAGGCCGAGTCTACCTAGGGACAGGTCCAGGACCGGTTCAGATGCTCGGTGGTGTTGGTGGCCGTGAGCGGAGGAATCGAACTCGGGTCGCCGGGTTCGTAGCGCTAAACCACGACACCACCGCTCCCCACGTCCACACACAGACAGACACAACACTCGCACGTGAATGTACAACAATAAACTTGTTGTACAACAATAAACTACAATAAACGTGTTGTACAACAATAAACACACACACACGCAGGAGCTCTCCTCCAGCAGTCAAACAACGTTTGTGATATGAACACTGTACAGGAGCATAGACTACATATGCAGGTATTTATTGTCATGTATATAGATCTATCCATGCAGAAACAAACAGATGCACATGTACACACACACAGACACACACACAGACACACACACACAGACACACAGCCAGACACACACAGACACACACACACAGACACACAGCCAGACACACAGACACACACAGACACACACACAGACACACACACACAGACACACACACACACAGACACACACACACACAGACACACACACAGACACACAGACACACACACACAGACACACACACAGACACACACACAGACACACACACACAGACACACACACACACAGACACACACACACACACAGACACACACACAGACACACACACACAGACACACACACAGACACACACAGACACAGACACACACACAGACACACACACACAGACACACACACACAGACACACACACAGACACACACACAGACACAAGGCAGACGGGAAGATGCACAAGGGGGGGGGAGGGGACAAAGAGCAGGCACGCAGACAGCACCATAAAGACAAAGATCCCCCGTGTAGCCTGTGACAGAATGTTGGGGCAAGTGCTGTTAGCGAGTAGCAGCAACAATGAAGGTCGCTGGCACTGTGGCACACGAGGGGTGGGTGACCAGCACCACGCCCCGACCGCCTTTGTCTCCCCCCCCCCTGTAGCGATGTTTACTAAAAACCGCACCACTCATTTGAGGCTGAGTCGACCTAGGGGGGAGGCTCCGGGACCGGTTCAGACAATCGTCGCCGGTGGTGTTGGTGGCCGTGAGCGGGAATCGAACTCGGGTCACCGGGTTCGTAGCGTAGCGCTAAACCGCTACACCGCCGCTCCCCACACACAGACAGACAGACACACAGACACAGACACACACACAGACAGACACACAGACAGACACACACAGACAGACACACACACAGACAGACAGACACAGACACACACACAGACAGACACACAGACAGACACAGACACGCAGACACACACACAGACAGACACACAGACAGACAGACACACACACAGACAGACAGACAGACACACACAGACAGACACACACACAGACAGACAGCACCACACGCACGCAGACAACGACGGTGAGGCGTGCAGGTAGGAACACACACACAGGCAGAGAGAGAGAGACACGCACGCACGCGTGCAAAGACCGTGGCTTGACACACAGCAGACAGACACAGGCAGACACACACACACAGACAGACACGCAGACACACACACAGACACACACACAGGCAGAGAGACGCGAGGGTACAGGGAGACACGTGGGTAGAGGGAGACACGTGGACGCGGGGAAGGAGAGAGCTCACCTCAGCTCGCCTCCGCCGACATGCACTCGAGGAGGAGCCCAGGGGTATGCGGAAATAAGAAGACGACTTCACTGTAACTCGTTATATGAGCTCACTCTCCCCTCACTCTCCACACACTCCTCCCTCTCTCTCCTCACTCTCCACCCCCTCACTCTCCACACACTCCACCCCTTCACACTCCTCACTTTCCACCCCCTCACTCTCCACACACTCTCCGCACTCTCCACCCCTTCACTCCACACACTCCACACACTCTCTCCTCACTCTCCACACACTCCACACACTCTCTCTCTCCTCACTCTCCACCCTTCACTCTCCACACTCCACACACTCTCCACTCACTCTCCACCCTTCACTCTCCACACTCCACACACTCTCCACTCACTCTCCACCCCTTCACTCTCCACACTCTGTCCCCTCTCTCTCTCCTCACTCCCCACACTCACTCCCCACACCATCTCTCATCACACCCTCTCTCCCTCCCTACTCACTCTCTCCTCACTTCCCACACTCCCCACACCCCCTCTCCCCTCACTCTCCACACTATCTCCTCACTCTCCACACCCTCACTCCCCACACTCACTCCCCACACCATCTCTCATCACACCCTCTCTCCCTCCCTACTCACTCTCTCTTCACTTCCCACACTCCCCACACCCCCTCTCCCCTCACTCTCCACACTATCTCCTCACTCTCCACACCCTCACTCCCCACACTCACTCCCCACACCATCTCTCATCACACCCTCTCTCCCTCCCTACTCACTCTCTCTTCACTTCCCACACTCCCCACACCCCCTCTCCCCTCACTCTCCACACTATCTCCTCACTCTCCACACCCTCACTCCTCACATTGCCCACACTCTCTCCCTTTACTCTCTCCTCACTCAGTTTCATTTATTAGGTGTAGCCCTGTGAGCCATTCGGCTCTTGAATCGGGTGCAACCGCAACAAACAAAAACATGAACAAGAAAACATGTTAAAGTGACTATGTGACTATGCGCAAACAGAAAAATCCAGGAAAAAAATGCAAAGTCTTCCAGAAAACAAGCACCGTACACCAACACTGTGCAAAAATCCCAGTGGGATGCAAGTCAAACAACAACAACAACGACAACCACAAGACAACTTAGATGAAGGCCATCAGTCTAACTCCGTACTACAACAAACAAACATGGCCAAACCGAAAAACGTTTTCGAAATCACCAAAATAAAGCCATGAAAGCAATGAAACAGTGATCATAGGAACTGTGACCGAAATGTCACAATAAACGACATAAACAACATGTACCACCAAACCCTGCAGCCATAGCTGGCTGCATGAGTCACTCCACAACAGCAGGAGCATCAGAGTATCAACATTTTTCAAATGCACCTTTAAAGATCAGCACACTGAATCAAAACACAAGATCATACGTTGCAGCGGTCATCCGGAACGAAAACATTTGACTCCCCACACTCTCTCCCTTCACTCCACACACTCTCACTCCCCATACTCCACACACACTCTCTCATCACTCTACACACCCTCACTCCCCACACTCTCTCCTCACTCCCCACACTTCACACACACTCTCTCCCTTCACTCCACACACTCCACACACTCCACACACTTCACACACTCTCTCATCACTCCCCACACTCCACACACACTCTCTCATCACTCCCCACACTCCACACACACTCTCTCATCACTCCCCACACTTCACACACTCTCTCATCACTCCCTTCACTCCACACACACTCTCTCATCACTCCACACACCGTCACTCCCCACACTCCACATACTCCACACACACTCTCCCTTCACTCCACACACACTCTCTCCTCACTCCCCTCACCCTCTCCTCTCACCCTCTCCCCACCCTCTCCCTTCACTCTCCCCTCTTCCTCTGTAATCGCTGTCCACGCCACTGGCACGGCTCCTTAATTGGACTCCCGCATCGGGGCGAAGGGACGGGGGGGCTCGCAGCTGATTGGCCCGCGTGAGCTGCAATGGTCTCTGCAATGTCGATTTACTTTCTGTTGTCATCAATCCAAGAGAGGCACTCTGAGTGATTTGACTTTTTTTTTTCAGGAGGGGTTCTGCCGCATCGAGTGTTTATTTTAAGTACTCGAATTTTTTATTTGGTGGGTTTACTCTTCAACAACGAACTGGCATATTTTGTTTACGTGGAAAACCTTACTATTTGGCTGTGCCGGGTGGTGGCGGGTTTAACGACACATTTATATTTATGAGATCGGATCCAAAACACCTCTATTATGGATTATTTGAAGATGTTTTCAGCCAATTAACAAGGAGTGTTTATGGTGCACGTGGGATCAAAGCGGAGCACCTGGAGAAAACCCACGCGTGCGAGGGTGCAACGCTCTATCCCCAGGACAAGTGCTACTTGCGAGCATCTTTAAAGATGGCGATTAGTAACCACTTGCTGTACTCCCTTCTCATGGCGAGCCACGGTATGGAACCTCCGATTAGCACGGTTGGTTACGTACGGTGCGAAAAAAGTTAAATATTTCATGGCACCTCCTGAACGCCCATTGAGAGGGACTTTCACTACACTTCTACGAACCCTCGCTGCCTCCACTTAGGGCTGGATTTACAGGCGACGTGCATAGCCAACTATCGCCCGCCTTGTGGTGTTGCAGGCGCAACATAGTCCACTATATGCTTTGGGTCTTTCGGTAAAGCCACGTAGACATAAACAAATACAAAAATATCGACGTTTCGATCGCAACACAAGCGGTCGTCTGAAGACTCAAAGAATATGAAATATGAATTCCTGCAGTCACGAAAGCTTTTAGTCAAGATATAGTCCACGATATCGCTCTCTTTTCAGAAGCGACCTGGCTATCACAAATGATAGCCCAATGAAGTGGCTTGTCACGTGGGAATTTACAGCAGCAAAATACTTTCTAAACGCATGTTTCTAAATCAGGTGAGAACTAATCAGACGAGAACTAAATCGGGTGAGAACTCAAGAGACCAGGACATAGTATGTTAAACACGTGGGCTTTCGCAACCAATTTTATCCATAATAGAGTTTTTTTTGGGGTCACCACATCTACGCCGTTATATATAAGGAACGAAACAGGTGGACTTCTCCACAAATCTGGCCGTCGCCTGATGAAGCTAGTTGTAATTACTGGCGAAACGTCGTACTCAGATTGTAAATGTTGTGGCTTGGTTCTCCAACACACCGGTGTGCTGTACTAGTATACTCCACTATACACCACATTATACACTACACTGGTGTGCTGTACTAGTATACAGTACTCCACTATACACTACACTATACACAACTATACACAATACACTACACTACTATACACACTACACTACTATACACTACACTATACTCTACTATACACAATACACTACACTACTACACACTACACTACTACACACTATCTTCTTGGTTCTGTCGGTAAATTCACGTAGAAGGGAAGTAATAAAATAATAAAAATAAAACATAATAAAATATAATGTTTTATTTAATAATAAAATATTATGTTTTATTTTTATTATTTTATTACTTCCCTTCTACGTGACTTTACCGAAAGAACCAAGAAGATGAATCCCTGCAGTCACGAAAGCTTTAAATCGAAATACTACACACTACACTACTATACACAATACACTACACTACTACACTATTATACACTACACTATACACTACTATACACAATACACTACACTACTACATTATACACTACTATTCACACTACACTATACACTACACTATACACGAGTGCTGTACTAGTGACGAATTGGCCACGTTCTGTTTACGTGACAACCCTTACTAGTTGGCTGTGTCTGGTAGTAGCGAGTTTTAACGACACATTTATATATTCACGCGATCTAACCCAACACACCTCTATTATGGAGGACATTGTCTCATTGGCAACATGCACCTGGGTCACCAAAATGACAAAATCATTGTCCTATAAAGTACGGTAATGAAGCGAGTAGAAATCTGTGTCGAGTGGTATCTGAACCCATTCTCACCTACCTGTACTGACCAACGTGGTGAAGTAGTTGGGAGGCGTTCTTCCAGCAGTTGAATAATTATGCTTTGCTATAATACAATATATCAACTTCACTGAGTCTTAAAACCGGTCCTATTAATTATTACGTTTATTTAGCCAGAAAAGCTTCACCGAGTCTCAACTCCGTACTAAAGATGGTCCAGTAGGGGGAGCTGTTGCTACCTATGATGCAAATACAGTCGAGTCATTTTCAGGTACAATGATACCCATATTTACGTTTCCCGTTGACTTCGTTCCGCAAATACGTCGTCACTTTATTAACACCGCTACCCGATGTGCGTCGCCTCGAACCACACTCACGTCAGCGGCGTTAGTCGACGACGTTAGTCGACGGCGTTAGTCGACGACGTCACCGCTTCCCGATGTGCGTCGCCTCTCACCCTTCGCCTCCACCTACCCACCCTGTGAATTGCTTCGATATACGTCGTTTCGATATTCGACGCGCATCCCCGACGTTTTAACCAATCACCCATTACATTGTTTTTTTCTTCAACATATAGGAGGAAACCGGAGGAAACCTGCATATAGAACAGGGGGGGGGGGGACATACAAACTCTACACAGAAATTACTTTGAATCGGGTATCGAACTCAGGACATTGTTGTTGAGGTACCGATGTTACCAATACGTCACCACAACGCTACTTGTAATGTTTGTGAAATCTGATTCTGCTGTTGCTGTTATTGTTGTTGCTCCTGATGATGATAATGCCACTTCCTGCTGCTAATGTCGTTATAGCTACTTTTGCTGCTGCTGATGATGAAGATGTTATTGCTACGGCTGCTGTTGTTGCTGATGACTAAACTATTGCTGCCACTGCCAATGTCGGTCGTACTTATTGAACTCCGCGACCCGAGCTCGATATCTGAACCGGTCTTGGAGCAGCACTCTTGGACACCACCCCCTAGGTCGACTCAGCCTTAAATGAGTAGAGTACACCTGGTGCAGTGTGTATGCATCTGCACCACCGGGGGAGACACATGCGGCTGGTCGCAATCACCCTCGTGTTGGCAATGCGTGCTTTCAAAGATGCTCGCTAGCAGCACTTACACCAAGAGCGTGTGCAGGCTACAAGGGGCGTCTTCTTT